GTAGTCTATTGAATTGATAAAATAGGTAATCACAAATGCACAGTGCTTTGCTTTTTCATTAAGTACTTAACGATTGTCTCTTCAACTATACATGGATACGTTTTCCCTTAGTTTATCTGGTGGCTTATGGTTTAGTTTGACATGTATATTTAATAAATTAATACTGCTTAATGCATTTGTTGTTTAGGCTGTAGTTCAGTAAAAACAACCGAGTTTTGTTCTCTACAGTCAGTGTCAGAGTCAATCTCATTTCAAGTAGCTCGAGCATGTTGATGTTGTGTTTTACTTAGCCATTTTGTCGAAGTAGAGTTTTCATTGTTCTCAAAGTAATGTCAGCACATGACTGATCTGTTTGATTTGAGATTCAGCTAACCTCTTATGTTGTTCTATGTTGTTTCGTTTCAGTATGAGACTTGGCACTTGGTAGTCTATTTTTGTGATGAAGTGTGTGCGACTTGAAACATTGTGCTCAATTTGTAACTGATGAATAAATTATGTGCTGCCATCATGAACCCGTTGCAATTTAGAGAGAAGGATGCGTAGATCTTTCTTTTTTTTTCCTAAACTTTTTAGTTGTAAAGATATATACTATCGGCGAAAGTTTCTTTCTTTTCTTCCTTGCAAAGGTATGTATAGACTCAACGTGCCACATTTTTTGCGCATACTGATAGCTAACAGAACTGTATTGGGCCAGCAGCATAGCACGGCTACCTGCCTTGTACATCATGATCAGGGTACCTCATGCATGTGCCCTATAAAACCCAAGCAACCAGTGCTTAGCTTTGCTATAATATACTGTATTTCTAATACGTCGCTTCCCAAAGGATCGGATCCAATATGGCGGCCAGGATCGCAGTTTCAGCGCCCATCGCCCTGGCGGCCGTGTTCTTGTTCCTTGTGCTCTCTGCGTCGCCTGCACAATGTAAGTGTGTAGATTACAGTTACAACCTTTGCTGGTCTTTAATTTGCATGTCGATTACAGATAGTCAGATATCGACGTATTTGTGTGACATGCGCATATCATCTGTCCATGGATTTGATTTGCAGGTCGTCGAGGGCTACTTGAGGTTGGAAGTGCAACGAGGAGGCACCCAAGCATATGTTCTGTCCATGGATTTGACGCTGATGCCTGAGATGGCGATGGCGAGGGGCAACGGCAACAGGTCGTTTTCGATCTCGATGAAGAAGGGCCCGGTTGCTTGCGTCCAAGCTTTGGAGCCAAGCGTGCGCTTCACTGATCCACGGCCAGAAAAAAGATTAACACCATCCGCAACGGGCCAATGCCTATCGGAGCACTAACTCGGCACGTACGCAAACACGGAGCTTATCCCTTGGCTTTTTTTTTTTTTTGCGACTGCCTTTGGTTTTGTTAAGCCGGTCTTTGAGTTCATCACATATTGTACGAAAAGCAAGGATTACGAATTGGACAGGATAGGCCTCGACTCCTCGAGGATGAGGTCTGAGTTAATTAATTATAAATAAAGAGATCATTGCATAAGCTGGGGCCAGTATAAAATTGGGAGTCAGACTTGACAGCTCCAGAGCTGCTGATTCATATGCCCACCGTCAGCCTGTTTGTTTGTATGGCTTATCGTAAACGATCGAAAATTTTCAATCAAAACATTATTTTTTTCTCACACAAACCAGCTAGCAGTACTTCTTCACGAACCAACAATAAAACAAACCAGCCAACCATTTGAGTAGCCACAAGCCCGCAACCGTCGGTGCTGGCCGCCCCCACCCCCTGTCTGACCGGTCGAGTCGCCAATCCATCATAGGAAAATGCTTATGCTTGTGTACGTACTGTACTCCTACTCAACAAGACTTGAGACAAATAAATGCTTTGCGTGGCATCCCTGATTGCCACGCCAAGATTGTTCGGCTGAGCTGAAATTTAGTTTGTTTGGCTTTTTTTTTAGCCGCTCACAATATTTTATTATAAACAATGTTTCCAGCATGAACAGTGAAAATTTCATCTCAGTCGAACACTCCCTAATCTGGACACGGAATCGACTTGTTGAGTACACAAACTTACGAGCCGTGCCTGCCCGTCCGGTGCCGTTGCTGTCCGAGTGCAGCTGTGGGCTGTGGCCTTCCCTGCCCGTTCAAGCTTCCTCTGATTGCCACGCAAAGCGAACAGATACGTTCAATGGCTTGCTTCGGGCCGCTTGCTTCCAGTAGATGATGCCTTGACCCGTGGCCTCGTCTCTCGCCCCTGCACGTTCTTTTCAAGCAGCAGGCACGTGCGTTTCATTTCGTAACCGGCTACTGTATTTCCTCCTGTTACTTCCACGCGCCCCGGCCCCATCAGATCTCATGGACATCGTGCATCCGTGCAACAGAAGCATGGGGATGAGGGGCACTGATTCCTCTTCTTCGAAGTTCAGGCAATTTTAGGGGGCCGCTCAGATCAGCACATGACGTGGGTCCCGACGGCTTCAGCGACGAGCGAGTCATACGGCTTCAGCCGTAGATTTCCCTTCCTTCCTTTTCCCCCTTTGTGTGATTGTGTCGTCGTCATCCCCGTTCTCATCTCGTTGACCTCTCTGCCTTCCTTCGCCGGATAAAACCCGTGAGGCGTGTCGCTTTCGAGCCCGTCTCGACGGCGGTACAGCGGCGCGCCCGCGTCGTCCGGCCCCGCCCCAGCCGCCTCACGGCGACGCAATACGAGCCGAGAGCTCTTCTGATTTTATTACCTCTTGCCGCCGCCGTGGGTTGTACGTACAGTACATTACACGTCCCTTTTCTTTTGCCCTCGACTCGACACCACTAAAAGCAGGCGGCGTCGCGTCACGTCAGTCGTCTGTTTGCGCATGAGCCTCCGCTGTTCCGCCTTGATTCCCCGGCGGCGGATGATGGGACTGGCAGCGCCCGCCCGGGACACAACAGGGTGGATCGGAACCGTGCCGAGCGCGATGCCCCGACTCCAGAGCGAGCAGGGCAACTGGGCAAGAGCAAGGCGACACGGGACCGGAGGGAGGAAACGCCCACGTGTAGTATTTGTAACCCACGAGCCAGAGCTAATCGGTTCCTTTCCCAATCCTGGTGTGGTGACGCCAAGGCTGGCTGGAAAGTGGAAGCCATCGGCGTCGCGTCGAGAGGGTGAGACGCAGCCCCCACCCCCATTGTGGCATTGCCGTTACGTTACGTGTGCCCCGGCACACAAGCTGAAGGACGAGCAAAGCAGGATCCGCATCCGCAGCAGCCTACCACTCCTAATCGCAGAAAAAGATCCGCTCTCCACCGCACGCACCCTCACGAAACGAGAACGCGAAAATACTAGTCCGAACCGGTGGACGACGGGACCCGTGGCGTTCACGCTGCCGGTGCCGGGCACGCCGACGACAGAAACGAGCACGGGAATCATCACCAGCAGCAGGAAACAAACGAGCCCGTTCTGGCCGCTTCACGAACGATTCTTTCGACGGGATGGGGAGGAAGGAATTCCTCCCGTTACCCGTGTGGATGGCTGACGGCGCGGCCGGTGCGCTGTGGCCTGCGGATAACGCTATTCTAATCGCTCCTGGCACGCGAGACGCCACTGCCTGGGGGCCACGCGGCCAGGCGAGGCTTCGCGAACCGCGCGATAAAACCCGCGGCCCGCCGCCCATCCCGCCATCCTGATCCGCCCATCCCAGATCCTATTCCTACTACTGCCAGTTTCAAAAAAAAAAAAATCCTACTACTGCCGTGCGCGTCCCGCTCCTGCCCCCCGCGAGGAGAAAGCCCCCGAACCCCACAGCCCCACACGCGAAGCCCGAGCGCGCAGCACGCCACGGCCACACCACGCGGCACCAGCACCAGGCTCCAACGTCCCCGTCCTCAACCAATCGTCACCGCCTCGGGTGATCGATCGAACGATCGGGTCAGCGTGCGCCGGGCGGCGCGGCCACAAGCGTCGCTGTTTAAATAGCCCTTAGCGGCCTCCCCTGCCCTTCAGTTCAGCCTCGGCCGGACATCTCTCGAGTTTGTACTGGGTAAGCGCTCTCTCCCTCTCTCCTTCTCTCCATCAATCCATTTGGGGATCCTTTTCCCCGTTCGATTCTCCCATTGTTTTGGCGCCGAGATCGAATCGCCGGGAGGCCCAATCGTCCGTTGGGAGCACGAAGGTTGTAGTTGTAGCTAGTGTTAGCCTGCGCAAGCCACCACCGGGTCGTCCTCTTCGTTCTTAGGGCGCGGCGCGGCGCTTCGCCTCCCGGTTGCTCCCATGGTGTCGGCTCCGTCCTAGATCGTTTCCCCAGATTTTCTGGCTTTCCGGAGGACCCTTGCGTTGGTTGGTTCCCGGGGCCCTCGATTCCTGCATATTTTTCTAGTTCTGATTTGGCGTTGGAACTCGCAAGTGCCGCTCACCTGCTTTGTTGTTTGCGGCCGTCCGGAAACACGAGGGAACGGGGGGCTTGTACCCTGAGAAAGCTCCCCCATGTTCCCCTCGCCTTGTGCTTGCGGCTGCCTAGTTAGTACCACCCCCGAACATGTTCGATGCAGTTCTTCAGCTGCAAATCACCGATACGCTAGTGTGTTCGACACATTCTATGTTTGTCAGGTTGCCTCTTTTGAGTAGCCTGAGTTTTTTTTTTCCTTCTCTGGAAATTATCTCCATCTGTAGTGTATTTTGGGAGTCCTTCATACGGTTATCAGATCAACTTTGGTCTTAACACGGGTATTTTGGGAGTCCTTCATACGGTTCTCGGATCAACTTTGGTCTGAGAACGGGTATTTTGGGTTCATCACAAGACATGTCAGGTCAAGTGCCTAGTCCTGGTCGACACGGTTGTGGCATTCCTGCTATTGCCATTTGGACTACTTTTAGCTTTCTTTATGCGCCCTGCACTAAAAAAGAACTATGCCTATCCGATTCGCATTAGACCTTCTAGATTTATCTACCGTTCTCGGGCAAAGTTGGTGTACTCCAAGGCTTTCTGCTTCAAAATCTGTCATCTAATGTAATTTGGCATGTCATTGCAGGGATAGCTTGGTGCTTCTAAGTATAACCATTGAAAATGGTCAGCGGGAGGCCCGGGAATGGTGAATTGGATGCATGGTTCAAGGGCCTCATGGTGACCTCTAGCAGCGAGAGGGAGCAGGATGGAAGTGGTGGTCCAGTGCCAACATTATCAGGATGGAAGGACCTTCCGATGGAGCTCCTGGTGAGGATAATATCGACTGTTGGAGATGATAGGATGGTCATTGTGGCATCTGGTGTTTGCACCGGCTGGCGTGACGCTCTGGGATGGGGGGTCACTAATCTTTCCCTTACATGGTGAGCAAGTTTCTTTCCTTCACTCCACCTCTTTAGTCAATTTGGCAGAATGTTATGAATTTTTTGCCATAATGATTGAAAAGGCTGTGCACTAGTTGTTGGATTCATTAAAAATATGATGATTTTGCAATATTCCTTCTGAATCCTTCCAAATATATTGTACTCAGTTCCCTGCAGATCATTTTTCTTATTATTCAATCATTTCTTCTGTAAATGAAAATCACCTATAAGGCTATAACCCCGTGTGCTGAAATTGTCCCATTTTGCACTGGTGATCTCATCCTTCGTACATGGTGCTGCGACCAATTAGCCAAGTTAGCAATGTGTTTCAGGGGAAGTGTTAGGAAATTCGTTTGTTTTGGTTACCATTTCGTGTTGAACATTGCTCTTTCAGTTAAAGCGAAAACTCCCCACCTTATCCTTTATTTTTAAATTATTTTTACCTCTCGAAGCAACCTGAAATTCTATTATATGAGTTTAGAATAGGCTCATCTGATATTGCTTTAGGTCTATGTAACTTGCCATTGTGTACGCTATGGATATCCATATGCTTGTCTCATAAGAAACTTTGAAACGCAACTAGACCTGCTCATTGACTTTCCATTTGCTTTTCTTAAAAGAAAACCTTCTGGTCTGCGGTCCTTGATTTGTCTAAGTTGCCAAGCCACAAAGCTGGTCTCCTTGATTTAAGTTATAATTTGTGATGAGTGGAGAAAACTAAGTCAATGAATGGCTTCATCTATCATCATAGCTTTTTAGCTTGCACAGAAGATACATCTATACCAAATTACACGAAGAACTTTTAGTTGTCTTTAAACAAAATCGCTGCATCCATTACTTACCTGGTGGCCCAATGCAATGGATTGAAATCAAGTTTACCACTGAATGATATATTGTAGTTAATACTCTTTCCATCCTACTTTTGGGTCTCAGGATGACATTATTTCTTCCTGCTTTTTCCTAACAGCCATCCCCTCTGTGCTTGTGTGCCAAATTATAGTTGGTTATATGCATAGCTTTTAAATAATGCACTGGCTAAGCTGAAAATTGTATCACTTGCAGGTGCAAACAGAGCATGAATAATTTAATGATACCTCTTGCACACAAGTTTACAAAGTTACAAGTTCTCACTCTTCGTCAAAACAAACCTCAGCTTGAAGACAGTGCAGTAGAGGCTGTTGCCAACTACTGTCATGATCTACGTGAGTTAGACCTCAGCAGAAGCTTCAGACTTAGTGACCGCTCCTTGTATGCATTGGCCCATGGATGCCCACGGCTTACAAGACTGAACATTAGTGGATGTTCCAATTTCAGTGATACTGCCTTGATTTACCTTACTTGCCGCTGTAAAAACCTGAAGTGCCTGAACTTGTGTGGATGTGTGAAGGCTGCTACTGACAGAGCTTTGCAGGTACTTTTCGTTATATCAAGTTTTGCTAACCATGTTTCTAGTATGAACGTCTACTTAGTTTCTATAATTTTGATGCAGGTTATTGCTCAGAACTGTGGGCAGCTGCAATCTTTGAACCTAGGCTGGTGTGATGATGTTACAGATAAGGGAGTGACCAGCTTAGCGTCAGGATGTCCTGATCTCAGAGCTGTAGACTTGTGTGGTTGTGTTCTTATAACAGGTATTTGATCTGATTCTTTAGCAACTTAGTTTTCTTTTGTGCTTGTTGGACCACAGTCAGTTAAGTTTAGATGGCGCTGAAACCTAGCACATCCTATCTTCAACTTGCCCCCATTTTGTTACTTCAGTCATTTGATAGGTAGAGTATGCCTTTTGTTTTGAACACAGTGCTCCATTAGACTACTATTCAAGCCATCATATATCCCCAGCACATTCTTTCTGAAAGATCAGTCCAGCTAATGAGATGCAGTTTTATCTGAAGAAATCTGATGGGGTGCGTGGGGTGTGCACATACAGTCATTACACCTGCACATATGCAAATATAATCGAGTGAGCATATCAATATCAGCATGCTTGCTTATAGCCTCGGGGATAACTGAGCATATCAATACAACATGCTTGATTATAGCTTCTGGGGTAACTGAACGTTTTCTGGGGCAGTTGATCACTGTATACAATAGTAAACTTGTTTGTTCTTCACTAGATATCTTGTTTGTTCTTCACTAGATATCAGTGTTTGCTGTCATTATTTCAGACTCTTAGACTGAGCACCACAAGGGCCTGTTCTTGTAGCTATAGTGAGCTTTGAGCACCATAGTCCTCATCTTTTCAACTCTTCATTGCAGATGAGAGTGTGGTTGCTCTTGCCAACGGATGTCCGCACCTGCGCTCGTTGGGCCTCTACTACTGCCAGAACATCACGGACCGTGCCATGTACTCCCTCGCAAACAGCCGTGTGAAGAGCAAGCGTGGGAGGTGGGATGCGGTGAAAGACGGGCTCGCGAACCTCAACATCAGCCAGTGCACCGCCCTGACGCCCCCAGCGGTGCAGGCTGTCTGCGACTCCTTCCCGGCACTGCACACCTGCTCCGAGAGACACTCCCTCATCATCAGTGGCTGCCTCAGCCTCACGTCAGTCCACTGCGCCTGCGCCCTCCACCCACACCGTGCCGGGAGAGCGCTGATGGCCAACCATGCGTACTAAGCTTGTTGGTGGCTTAGCGCTGATGGTTCTCGTGAATGGGGGCGATTGCCTGGTGGTGGTGGCGTCCTCCAGGTGTAGAGGAAGCTCCCTGTGTACATAAACTCGAGACTTGGTGGTGTAATAAGACACTGCTGTTGTAGGACTTTTTGTGATAATCATGGAGTGGCGAATTTCTGGAGCGTGGCATGTGCACTCCAGTGCTACCTGGACATTGACTAGAAATGTGGTATCTAGTGGACTTCGTTGTAATGTGTATTTATTTCATGGACTTTGTAGGGTTGCAGTCAGATCTGCCTAAATCTTGACGGCAAATGCATTTTCATCAATCTGGAACTACCAATATGGCAATCTACAGTATTTTTCAGTCGGCTTATCAGCTTGAACTTATCAGCCGGCTTATCAGAATCTATAGTATTTTTTTCTCACAACAAAACAGCTGCAGCCGGCTGGCCGAATAGGCCTATAGCATATCTATCTATATATCTTATAAAAAAAATATTTCGATGGTTTTCTATCTCAACGTCTATTCATGTCATTCCCACATCATTCCCTCCTTAGCATTCAATCCCACGTGCAAGCTATTTATGGCATTCTCACCAAATGGTAGGTTATCCTCCATTAAGGCTGTGTTTAGTTTGTGAATTTTGAGAATTTATCTACTGTAGCATTTTCGTTTTTATTTGGCAATTAGTGTTCAATCATGGGCTAAATAGGCTCAAAACGTTCGTCTCGTAATTTCCAACCAAACTGTGCAATTAGTTTTTTTTCGTCTACATTTAATGCTGATGTAGACTAGGCCCGATCTTCCGAAAGGTATGATAGCGTCGATTGGTGGAGACTCGACGTTCACGATCTAGGCTTCGAACCAAGACTATTCGGACCCCCGCAACCGTTACACCACTGCTCTGTTGGTTATCAATCACGTGAACGCGATTGACCTCGCCAAGAAGGCTTTCCTACAAACGAATCGAGAACACAAGCAAGAACGAGATCAACGCAATATGAAATTGCAAATAAATATGAGGCTTCTGAAAACAATAAGGAGTTCAAGTCTTTATTCGAAAGGACTAATTGCCACAGACGAACAAGATCAAGAACTAGGGCCCTGGTTCATAGCAAGCGGCCTTAGCGGCGATAGTTGCAGCAAAACAATGTCTATTTCACGAGAAAATCAAGAACTAAACAAAACACAAACCCTAAGGAGAGCGACGGCTGATAAATATAGAGTCTTGGGCGTCACCCCTCCTGGACGCGCCCCCTAATGGGCCCAAACACGATACACGGTCCAACGGACCAAAAGACGATGTTGCAGCACCCTAGCAGATTCTGGACGCTGACTTGTTTCGATGATTCCCGTTGATTCTCAAGATATTTTGACGTGAAACCACTTGGATTGGCTTCCTTATTAAATTAGCTTTCCATGCATATGTGGATCGTCGAAAACGGAGTCCGGATGCGTCCTGGGTGACCAGTTTAAGGCAAACTGGTTCTAGAATCCGAGATGGGCTCCAACTTCAGTTGGACTGGGCCTCCATCATGGAAAAGATGAATTGTACGCCCATGTTGGACCTCCTCCTCTCATTGACTTGTATGCGATGAAGTAGTGATGTCCTCATCAAATGCTCCATGCACATATCGCAAATTTCGATGTGATGACTACTGCAGCACTTTTTGAAAAACTTTTTGAGAACTAAACAAGCCCTAACTTTCAATCTTTTCATACAAAGCTATCGACGCCCTCCGTTCCCAGCTCGAAGAGCATCTACAATACTTCCAAGATATCGACACCCTTCGTTCCTGACTCGAAGAGCATCTCCAATAGTTAAAAATAATTAGTTGATAAATCAATGGGTTTAAAAGTGGCTAAAAAAAGTTGGAAGCATATTTGTTGTCGTCCTAAAATAATTTTCAAAACTCCTAAAATATAGAAGACAATTTTGAATCAGAAATCCTGAACTATTTCTAAATTACCCTGGCTACTTTTATATTTTCTTTCTCTTATATATTTGCATCAAAAACCCTGTCTTACTCTTTATTCTTTCCACGTCTTTCCATGGCACATCGAGACGCGCGTTTAAATTTCCACCAGGTGGGGGTTGTTTTGCCAAGTGCCAAAATATTGGAAGATGGGGTTGAGAATTGTCGGAGATGATTTTTTACAATCTTGCCAAAAATCTTGAATTAGGAGAGTGTTTCGGGTACTCTTGGAGGCACGGGAATTTATGAGACATGCAAGTTAACTCATTCTATATTCCTTCATCACATATTATTTGTCATTTTAGCTCTAAGCACATGAATTAGTCCCTCCGCTTCACTTTATAAGTCACAATCTAACATAGCCCGGTCTTCAAAACTATATTGACCATTTATTTATTTTGTATTGTTTATAGTTATAGACTTATGATTATTGGATAGTATATGTTTACGGACCTAATAGTATCAATTTTGTTATATATTGTTGGTCAAATATTATAAAGTTTTACTCTTTGACGTATGTGAAATGTCTTATAAGGGGGATTGGAGGGAGTAAGGAGTGAAGAAGTTGTGATACACGCAAAACGAAAAGGAGGATGATAGAGATAGAGATATATTGGAAAAAAATAGAAGGATACATTGAAGTGAGAATAACAAAAAATTTGAGATAACTATAAAAAGTTGGAATAATGGGGTGTTTGGATTCAGTGACTAAAATTTAGGAGGTGTCACATGAGGGTGTCGCATGGGGTGTTCAGATACTAATAAAAAAATAAATTACAGAACCCGTTAGTACTCCACGAGACGAATTTATTAAGCCTAATTAACCTATCATTAGCACATGGTTACTGTAGCACCACATTGTCAAATTATGGGCTAATTAGGTTTAAAAGATTCGTCTCGTAAATTAGTCGCAAACTGTGCAATTAGTTTCATAATTAATCTATATTTAATACTCCATGTAAATATCCAAACATCCAATGACACAGCGACTAAAGTTCAGAGGAGTAGAAAAAAAAAACCCTGACTATCGTCACGGAACGGAGGGAGTATGAATTATGAATCTACGTGAGGTTAACTTAATAGCTGTGTAGTAGTAGTTGCCGTAGCCCAGAAGCGTCCTTCGTAAGCGAGGCCGGGCCGGATTATTGCGGCACCGGGGCTCGAAGATCTAGCACTGCAGGCGCACCTGGTGGGCCAGGAAAATCGCCCGGTTGCACGTGGACACGGGCCTTGCAATCACACACGTCGCAGTCCGCGGTCGCACTCTACCGCGCTCCTGGCCGTACCGAAACCATGTGCAATCACACACGGGCACACCGCACACTGCACACGTCCCACCGGCGGCCGGAGCCCGGAGCCCGGAGCCGCTCGGATCTCTGCTGTGCGAGTTCGGCGCCGGCCGTCTCGTCCCGTGCGGCCGTGCGTGCGGTCTGGCATGCCCAGCTGCCCACCATGAATTGATCCATGATGATGGCGCGGGAGCAGCGCCCGATCGATGCTTCTTGGCACGACGAGAGGTCGGCGGCGCGCCCTCGTGCGCCACTCTGCCTCGCCCCATCACGTCTCGTAGTTTCGCACGCGGCACGCACCAGACATTTCTCATTTCCTCCTCCTTGCAGTCTCCCCGATCACCCGTCCTACGGTCGCCGCTACTCGATCGCGCTGACGCGCGGCCGCTTGGTGGCAACTGGCAAGGAATGCGCATCGGCACGACGGCACCAGGGGGCGGTGGCTCACCTACTGCCACAAAAAGCGACCCTGCGAGTGACCAGCGCTGATTGGGCATTCCGGATAAGACCACCGGATCAGTATGCCGCGTGCCAACCAAAAGTCAACAATCAGCACTCAGCTCAGCAGCAGCGCCAGCAACCCGTTCCGGTAATCAACCAATCATTATCCCCCTATTCTCTCTCTCTGTCTTTTTTTGAAAGTAAGCCCTCCCTATTCCTTTTTTTTTTTGCTCTAAAACACGCGTGATGCTACACGTATACTATTCTAGTGCTCATAGCCTTATTAATCCTTGTCAGTACGTTTACTCGGCCCACGGGGGTGGAGTAGAGTAGGTTCTCACCAAACCACGCGCTTTCACAGCGGAATAGTTGGCTGTCGCTTCGCTTGAATGCGCGAATTTCGTCTACAAATCCCACCGTTTCCCCCGTGAAATCGCCAAAATTCGGTGCGTTACGGGGGAGCAAAATTTTGGTCGGGATAGGTAGGTAGGTCCGGCGTGGGGGGGCCTTTGTTATACCCGCCCCCAACGACCCACGCGCGGCGCCCACCGTTTCTGCCCGCGTCCTCTTCACCCTCCTCGCTCGTCTCCTCTTCTTCTTCGCCTGCTCTGCTCCGCGCTCTCACCCTCCGCAGGCAGTTTGCACGCTCGCCGCCGCGCGCTGGGCCTCCACCACCCGTCCGCCGACTCCTCCGCAGATTGGACTGCGGCCCGCTGCTTGGCCGTCGGCGACCCCCCGCACCGGCCGATCCTCGCAGGTAAGGGTAGGGTCTCTCGCTCGCGAAATCGTTTTGCTCCTTTCCCTTTCCGGAGCCCCGTTCCGTTGTTGAGCGGTGGCTGTAGACCTCACGATTGTGCCGTTCGTGGAGAGATGCTCCGGGCTAGCGTGAGTTGCAGCTGCTCCGACTCCGACGGAGAAGGAGCAAATTAATTAGGAGCGTTGTGTTGATGGAAACGGAGGAAGCAAGGAAATCGCTGCGTCTTTGCTAGTCGGGGGTGGGGGAAGCGCAGGGTTTGATGTTAGCGGAGAATCGTAGGGTTTAATCGGAGTTAACTCCAGAAGATCCAGCTTCACAAAATCGATGAGGGCCAATTTCGTCGTAGTTCGTGGGAGATTTTTCTTCCTCCTCCTCCCGAGTCCTCCGATTTCTGTAGCCGTTTAATGCTTATTTTTATACCACAACGTATAATATTGGTGGAGAATACAAGTATGTTGGTTCTTACTGGTGGAACTTCTACATATTTTTATTTATTTATCCATTTATTACTCGGGACTTAACAGCTGGATTCCATC